ATATATCTTGTTCTGATTTAGAAAGAGCTTGAAAAGATTCTCTTAATTCTGCAAATTGTTCCTTGGAAATTCTTGAACAACCACAATTACATCCCTTTTCTAAAAAATCAATTGCTTTTTGATATTCAGCAGAACCATTATATTTATTATTATTTTTCATATTAGAAACAATACCCACTTTACTTAGTAAAATTTTGAGATATTTTCTGTTAAAGTTTTTAAAAACAATAGTAAATTACTTGAAATGTAGATCTTTTTTTCCGATTTTCTCAAAATCGAGATTTTGCGGTTAGGGCTGTTTCATTTTCCGCGCCCCATATAATAAATAAGAGTAATGATGCATTATTAATATTAAATATTAACAACATTTAATCGAACATATTGTTAACTATTTCTTGGTAATGACACTTATATAATGTCATTTTTTTTTATTTCGTTAAATGCCGACGAATTTATCAAAATCTTGAATTCGAAGAAGAAATGACGGAACAAGAAATTGTAAACATAGTGTTGGGGCAACCTGAAGTTGAAGATAATGGGGATATTGATAAGATAAGTGAGCCAATTGTAACAAATACAGAAGCTATAAATGGTTTGGAAAATGTATACAACAAAAAGATTTAGAAGTTGATTCTCAAGTAATTATTGAAGTTAAAAAGAGAAAATTTCTTATAGAAGCACCCAAGAAGCAAAACAATGTCGCATTGATAAATTTATCAGTCGACAATGATATTATTATTATTATTATTATTATTATTATTATTTATTATCCGTTATATTTTGTTTTTTATATACAAAATTATTTTAAATAAAAAAAATTTTTTTTGTATATACGCATTTAATTTGTATCACATGATTTGATCATAAGTTTCGATTTAGCGGATCTCTTGATTTAACGGATAAATTTTCTGGAAAAAAATATCCGTTAAATCGAGACTCACTGTGTATACCATCGATCATTATGACATTTAGCATTTCCAAATTTAGTAAAATACTTGACTGAACTCACCAATAAAAATTTTTTAAAATTGCACCATCAAAACAATTTGATATTAAAAAACAACAATTTATTTTTTTTAATACATACATTATTTTACTCTCCAGTTCTTGAATAATGGCATCACTTTTCGATTCGAACCTTTTTGAAGCTCTCCATCACCCAGGTAAGCTTCTATCCAGACTTTCATAATTAATTTTAAGCAGGAAGAAAAACTTAACTCTCTTTTCATAGACTACTGGAATCGCAACCCAAATTCATGGGGAAGTTTGAGTGATTGGGATATATACTATATCAATCATACACCTGGTAGCACAAAAATGAAAGCACATCGGTCACTTGGATTGGAACTTAAAGTTCTTCTAAAAAGGCTTTCAAAAACAAGCTATGGTTATTATAAGGCAATTGAATTACAAAAGCTCTTGAAGGTCAGATTTTTCTTCAGCCATTATTTTAGGGACACCAATATCATGCACGCCCTGCAATTGCTAATTGAGTGACTTTGTCGCAGAAAGCAAAATGTTTCTTTGCTTGAAGTGGGCAGAAAGCAAAATGTTCTTTGCTTTATAGGGCCTTCAGGCCCAATATGCTTGGTGGTTCCATTGATATTCGCCTATAATCGCACCCTGCAATTGCTAATTGAGCGACTTTGTCGCATAGGGCAAAATGTTTCTTTGCCTTAAGTTGGGCCATTAAGAATATGTCTTGTTCTACTTTAGAAAGAGCTTGAAAAGATTCCCTTAATTCTGCAAATTGTTCCTTGGGAATTCTTGAAGAGCATCCACAACCACAGCCTTTTTCTAAAAATCAATGGCCTTTTGATATTCATTAGAACCATTATATTTATTATTAATTTTCATATACACTTATCCCTATATATATTATTTTATAATTTTATGTTCACTTTGTAGTTTTTTATAATTGTTTTAAAGTTGAAGGAAAGTATATGAATGGAATTAAACTTAGGTGAATCAATGTAATAGTTTTAGGTAAATGATTTAAAAGATATGATTGCTCAATAACTTGTGAAGAGAAATTGGAAAATTTGGTCAACCTCCCCATGAAAAATAATTATGGCCTAGATTTAAATTGGCTTATCATCATTAATAATCAAAATGAGAAAAAACACAAACAATAAATGAAATAATAAGTTAATAAAAAATTGACTACCTTTACTAATGAAATTTTCCACACATTGTTGATCATAAACAGAAAATGTTATTATTGCTGTAAAAAATCACGTGTAATGATTCATATTTTGTTTACATAAAATTTACTTGATTATTTATTATTATGTTCAAAATATCTTCTGAATGGATTATAACAATAAGATTAATTATACGTAGTTTATTTATATTTTTATTATTTATATATTATTATGTATTTTTAACATAAAAAGAATTATCCTCTAAGAAATAAA